GTCCCTTCCGCCTCCTCCGGGGTAGGGGCTGTCTGGTGGGGGAGGGGAATGGGGGGGGCAGTGCTTGGAAGAGGGGGGGCAGGATGAGCTGGGGCCCACTGCCCCCCCCCCGTATCCTGCCAGGGGCAGCCTGGTCTGGGAGCCCCCAGCCCCTGGGGGAGCTGCCTGGTCGTGGGGGGGCTTTGTCCAAGCCGCGCCGCTCGCTGAGCAAACCGGGGAAGCATTGAGAAATCAGCAAACGGTGGCGCTGGTTTCGTCATCGCGGCTTCTCTGCCGCAAGACCCACGCTGGTGCTAGGAGGGGAGAGTCGCAGCACCCCCACGTCGCACGTTGAAAATGCGGATTTCTTGCAAAATCACGTCTTTGCGCTTCGTGCGTGCTCTCGATAACCCAAGACGGGAGGGGTTTTCGATTCCAGTTCTTGTGCCGTGCCCGATCCGCCTGCCCTCTCTTTTTTTATTTGATTTTTTTGTACATGGTTACCCGGGGTGGTAGTCATATTGGTCTTGAGGAAAAAGCAGTCGGGACTTGTGGTAGAGGTGATATCTTTTATTAGACCGGCAAGATTTGGCCCCCCTCCCCCCAAAAAAAATTAAAAATTTCTTGAATGGCAAGCTTTCGGGCACAAACACCCTTCATCGGGCATTGGAGAAAAGGTTGTAAAAGTTCTCCTGGGAAGAAATGAAAGGAGTCAACAGATGGAGAAATCCTCTGGGCAGTCGGTTCATAGCTGGTCTTGCGAGGTTCAGTAATGGTGCAAATTACCTTGAAATCCTCTGAAATATGAACTTTCATTTCTACCCAGGAGAACTCTTACAATCTTTTCTCCAATGCCTGATGAAGGGAGTTTGTGCCCGAAAGCTTGCCATCAAAGACATTTTTTTTTGCAAAAATTTTGTTTGTCTAATAAAAGAGATCCTCTCTACTATGAGTCCTGATTGGTTACGTGAGGGTTGGGTTTGTTTTTTGATCTTGAACTGCCCTCTGCTGACAAAAGTGGAAACTAACACCGCTCAGTTGTCTTGTGCGCTTGTCTCTTGTAGGCTGAGTTTGAGAAAGCTGCCGAAGAGGTGAAGCAGCTAAAATCGCAACCAACAGATCAAGAAATGCTGGACATTTACAGTCACTACAAACAGGCCACAGTTGGAGACGTAAATACACGTACGTATGGGAGATGAGCTCTCTCTGACTAGGTGAAACTTGCCTGATCAGAAAAGAATGAAATGCACCTAACTGTTAACTTCTCTGTTTTGAAGCCTACCTGGTATATCGAAGTAGGTCAGGGAGTACAGTTAATAAGTTTATTTACCAGCTTCAGGTTCACGTCAGGCTTGCTGTACATAATGCCTCTGTAGCAACAATGGCATGTAGAGATACCTGCATGTCAGGGGCTCTGTGCATGGCACACTTCGCTTGCATTTTAAATGTCAGGTGCTCTGTGCATGGCACACTTCGCTTGCATTTTGTGCTGAGAGCTGCAGTAGGAACATAAGTCATACCCTGCTTCACTCACTTATGTCTTATCTACATTGGGCTATAACATACTCCTCACCCCTGTGCTCCACTCCTACCCCTGTTCCTTAATCCTGGAGCAGTACACTGCTTTGATCTTCACAGACACTGTTCATTGTGAACTTATAACCAAGTCGGTCACTGCTGTCCTACTGACAGCCTGTGGGCTGCATGCAGCCTGTGAAGGGTTAATTTGAGACCTTGGGCTTCTACCTAACTGCTGCTGCTTCCCCCATGGCTCCAGCAGCAGCCAGGAGCTTTGGGCTGCTCTCCTGCCTCCAGCTTCTATTTCCTGGCCCTGCTGCAGGCGTTAGGGTTGTGTGGTGCAGCCTAGGTTGTTTGCACAGCATGGTGCAGCAAACAGCTGCAGGGAGCTGAGGGGGAGGCCGGGGCAGGCTCACATGGTGGAGAAGGAAGGAGGGGGAAGGGGGCATGGTGCACACCCACACAGCGTGGGAGTCCCTGCTGATTTGGCCTTTGGGCGCATGACTGCTTAGTTCAAGGCTGTTCAATTTGAGTGACATGTATGTTAAACATGACTAGCTAACAATCCTGTAAAGGTCTCATTAAATAAATGACTGCTTATCCTTGCTTTCAAAACCTAAAGTACTGCTTCAAGCGACTTGCTGCAGGCTAGTAAACTGATGCATAGTAACCATGTTGCTGTCCTGTCATCTCTAAAGATTAAAAAGAATGAAACAAAACTTAAATCCTGTCTTGGCATTGGTTGGAACTGAATAACAAAACATGTGGTGTGACCTTCTTCTTTGGCTTAGGCTGGACAGTGCAGGATCATGTCACTATATCTAGCTGTATCGAGTGATCTGAACTCTAGGTTATGCCTGTAAATATATAGGTGTGATGCGAAGAAATCTACCCAGGCAGCTGTACTAAATTTGAATGACCTAATAAATTAGAAGCATCTTCCATTCTGTACAAGGCTATTGCCTGGGGCAGCATTTTCTCTCTATTTTTGAGTACCTGTTGGCTAAAGAGTTGCTAGAGAAGTAATTCTGCTCATGTAAGTGCTGCCTCGATAGCAATGAGACTAATACTAGCGTAGTTGCCAGAACAAACAGCCCTAGTGCAGTGCAATGTTTGCTGCAGTAACATAGTTAAACTAATGCAAGATGAGGAAAAGGCTTACCAAGCTCTGCTAGTAAGGAGAGCTCAACGAAGCTGAAGCAGCAAAAAGCAAGGAGGCTTTGTGTAAAAATAGGGAATCCTGTACTGCCCAGGTTTGGCAACTGGATTGGTTTCTGCCCCAAATCTTTTACTGCAGCAATGACTCTCAGCAGATGAAAGACTGCAAGTCTTTGTACTGCTCTAGCATTATAAATAGCACATATTCAAGTGTATTAAGTGAATGAATGATCCAAACAACAGTACTTTGCAGCAGACTAGCATCTAAGCAAATGTAGCTCTGTAAAGCAAAAAAAAAAAAGCTCCTTGAAGCACTGGCCCTTTGCCAGTTAGCTATTGGATCCGTTGGATGTGTTAGCTGGATATGTACTGCTGGAGAATTGTAGTCAGACTTGTATAGACAGACCTGCACTGCAGTCATACTGTGACAGAAGGGCCACGGTGGGGACAAAGCAATAACTTGCTTGGCTATAAGGTTTGAGACTCCTGCCCTGACTTGGATTTAAATATTGCTCTTCGATCAGGGTTACTGTTGTAGAAGTGGGAAAGCACCAGTCTGAGGGGTACTGCAAAGCAGTGTTTCCTAGCTTGTTTCTTGAGCTGGCTCGTGTGTCCTCTGTCTCCCTGAATAGAGGCGGAGCTGCCAACTAGTAATAAAGGTTGTTTTACAGCTGCAAAGCCCAGTGCGAGGTTAGAGCTATGAGTAAAGTTGGGCCTCTGGTCTCTTAATACTTTGCAGCTCTTGTCAACTGAATTGGGAACTTTTGAGCTGAACTCACTTGGATTTACATGAAAGTTATTTTTTGGGCTTGCCATACAGTTAAAAACCTGCTGACTTGCGGTGTGAAAAGATTGCACCCCTTAGCTGGTGTTTAACTACAGCTACACCTCTCTATCGCTGTCTGCTGCTCTTAAAACTGATCTCTTTCTTACAAATGATATGACAAGGTAAAACTGGGAATGCTGTCTGTGCACAAAGTGAACTGAAAACTCTTTAAATTCCACTTCTAGCCTCTTATGTGAATACAAACTTCTATAAAGAAGTATCTGTATGCAAAATTACAAGGCTCTTGAGGGAGAAGGGGGTGGCAAATGCTTATTAATTCTGGCTGCTGAGGACTGGAATCCCTTCAAGGTGAGGGAAGTTATCATTGACTAGGCTGGGAGGACACAAACAGCTTTCCTTTCCATAGCTAATGTTATGTCTCTTCTTCAGAGCGCCCTGGCATGCTTGACTTCAAAGGCAAAGCCAAATGGGATGCCTGGGATGCATTGAAAGGTAAGTGTCCAGGAAGGCTAATATAGAAATAGGCAGGATTGGTCACACAGTCTCAAAACAAATCTTGATTTCACTGCCTCTCTCAAATGGCTGACAAGCAGAAGTCACTTCTGGTATAGTCTGGCTGGCTTGTGTAGTATTTGATGGGGATTCATACACAGCTAGTCCTCTAGGGAAGAAGGTCCTTCCCTGGGGGAGACTGTATCTCCATGCTGGCAATAAGCCCTTTGCAAGCCTTTAGCAAACTACAGACAATGCTGCAGGTTCATAAAATGTAAAATAACCACTGTCTGTCCTTCGGGAGGATGCCGAGGGAGAACAATGAGTTAACAATGTTGTGGTGTCAAAGTGCTTGAGTACTTCATGCCTGTCCTTTCCTGATCTCTCGAGCTAGAAATACTTCCCTACTTGCACTTTTTTTCATATAATTTTGAGTCTTGCTAAGTGACTGGCTTGACATAAGTCCGAGGTGATGAGACTAGACTTCAGGTCCCTAGACTAAATTCTAGACTAGTACCAGTTCTTCCTCTTGAACAACAACGGACTGGATGTGTTCACTATCTAGAAACTAAAGTTATCCAACCTGAATGGGATATTCTGAGGCACTCCACTTCCCAGCCCTCGCTCTAGTTACTGCTTTGTGGAAGCTATAAAATACAAACTTCCCTGAATACCCCCCCCATCTCCCCTCACTTCAAATGTGGTGTAGGTACCTGCACAATCAGCCTTTGTCCTGTTCCAGGCCATTTCATAGCCCTTTTACCAACAAAGTAGAAGTGGCTTGCTTTGACATCAAGCTTTAATGTTCAGTCATGTCAAATGATGCAAATTCACTCCAAACAAAATACAGTAGCCTGGAGTGTCTTAAATTCTTGGCAGTTGAGGTGCTTGCCACCTTGTGCCATAACAGCCGTGTTTAGCATTAAGATGCCATCTTAGCCACAGCCATGCATTTACTGAGTACAGCTGTCTGCTCTGTCAAAAAACATTAAAGGAACACTTGGAAAAGGAGGCTATGCCCCATCTGTAGGAGGCAGCAGTGTGACACTACATTGCAACCATCTGACAAAAGACATACACTCTTACTTGTGCAGGGAGTTAAACTCTTATTGCCAGGCTGTCCTCTAGAAGAGAAGAGAACGTATCTGTAGACCAGGTTATAAGTTGAACCCCTTCCCAGGTGAGGAAGCCCCGTCTCCTGGAAGCTATCCAGGAGGGTGAATTTAACACTGCTTTGGTTCGGAGGGCTACAGTTGGAGCTACTTGTGGCCCTTGCCCAGCCTCCTTTCTAACCCAGGGGTTGCTTTTCGAGGTAGGTGGGAAGGTTAGTAATGAATCCCCTAGGGGAGGCAGGATAGAGTGGCTGGCATTAAGTTCCCATAGCAGAAAGAAACTACTATACAGTTCTGCAGGGTCATCCATGAACAATTCTAACTAATCTGGCTATGGCACGAAGGTGCTGTACTTTATTTCGTACCAAGTGCTTCCCCCCAACTCCCAGCAGCTATGGTTGTGAGAGGGTTCACACTATAAATCTTAGTCTGAAGGGTGAACTCTACCCCAGAAGCCTGGCATCCAGCTTGCAGCAGTGTCTCCAGACTTGCAGAACAAGCTTCCTTGTTTAAGGGTAGGGTGACCATATGTCCCCACTGAGCTGGGACACTCCCAGATTCTGTAGACCCGTCCCAGCCAGTTGATTAAAAGTCCTGGGTTGGAGTCTAGCAGGGAGGCAGAGCGGCATGGTGCGCCAAGCAGGCATCCAGGACTGGAGCAGGTGCTGCCCCTCCGCACCCGTGGCACGTCCTTGCTCCTGCACAGCAGCAGCAGTGCCTGCCCGGCCCCGTCTCTGGTGCCCTATGCCGCTGGGACTGGCCTATGGAATCTGGCAGTATCCTGGCCAAACTGGGACCTATGGTCACCCTACTTAAGGGGCACACCCCAGTTGGGAGAGTTTTTTTTGTTTTGTTTGTTTTGCAAGGGGGAAGGGTGTGTTATAAAGTAAATGGGTATATACTGGGATGAACCAGTTCCAACCTAGGAGAAATATAGGTTGGAGATGCCTATAAGGCAAGCAGCTGTTGGAATTCAGTTCCCACCCAGCTGTCCTTCAAATTTACATATACTGCACTCCAGCGAGTGAACTGGAAGCCTATATATGGCAAATATCTCCACTATTTTTATTATATTATGGCATAATCAATTGGGTATTCCTGACCATGTGCTAATACTAGTCTCTACTCTTGCAGTCAGTAGGAGGCTGATATGGCTAGTTGTCTCACTTAACTGCTAGTAGAAAAAGCCATTGGAGAACTAAACAGTGAAACTGAGCATGATCTTTATTTAAAACAGCCTGAACCCAGTTGTACAAAGCAACTTCTAGTACGTAGTTTCCTGGCACTCTGGGCCACCTCAAGGTGGCAGCATCCTGTCATTCTGTCTTCCTGCCCTCGCTATCCAACCTAGAGCTTGCTGTAAAGCTTAAACGGAGAAGACCTAGCTAATTAAGTCAGACAGCTGTTAAATCCTTATGAGCGAAGATTTTGTCTGATCCAGCCACCTGATGAATATTGTTTCTTTCAGGAATGTCTAAAGAAGATGCAATGAAAGCCTATATAGCGAAAGTAGAAGAATTAAAGGGCAAGTACGGCATGTAAGAACTGAAATCACCTGCCACTCGCATGTGTGAAATCTGCCTTACTTCTAATACTGTGAGTGATACAAAATGTTGGAACCTAAACTGCAGAACATTAAGTTTCTGCAGTGGAAGAGTTCACAGTACTCCTGGAGTCCAGATTAAACTAATTGCTTGAATTACTCCTATGAAATGAGTAGCTTTTACTCTAAATCATTAAAATGCATTTGATATATTATCTGTGGTGGTGGTCGCTCATTTTTGTTACGATCTCATCTCCATCTCCTAACTGACAGGAAGCCTGTTTCACCCAAAGAGTTGCTATGTTGTAGCAGTCAAGCGTCTGGACATCCCAGTTTCCTGTGGCAACACGAAAACTGACAGCTAGCTCTGAAACGCCAACAGCTGTCCTGACCGCTAGAGGGCTCCAGTGACCTGTAGTTAATGCAGTAGTAGCACAAACATTCCCTCCCTTCTATCCCTAAATAGCCAGTCTTCAAATTCTCTAAGCATGACCTTGCTTAAACTGAGGTAGCTACTCTATATTCAGTTACTTCTGGTAAAGACCCATCCTCTTGCAACTGCAGCACTATGCCTGCTCCAAACTATCTGTCTATGCCTTCTCTCATAGTTTCATAGTTAGTAGGGTCAGAAGGGACCTGAGTAGATCATCAAGTCCGACCCCCTGCCATGGGCAGGAAAGAATGCTGGGGTCAAATGACCCCGGCTAGGTGATTTATCTAGCCTCCTTTTGAAGACCCCCAGGGTAGGAGTGAGCACCACTTCCCTTGGTTCCAGATCCTAGCTGCCCTGACTGTGGAGTAGTACCTCCTGATATCTAGCCTGAAACGACTCTCAGTCAACTTATGGCTTTTATTCCTCGTTACTCCCGGTAGTGCTTGGGGGGAACAGGGACTCTCCCATAGCCTGCTGGTCCCCCTTGGCCAGTTTGTAGATGGCCACCAGATCCCCTCTCAGCCTTCTCTTGTGGAGGCTGAACAGGTTCAGGTCCCTTAGCCTCTGCTCGTAGGGCCTGCCCTGCTGCCCCCTTATAATGCAAGTGGACCCTCTCAATGGACCCTACATCCCTCCTGAAGTGCGGCACCCAGAACTGGACGCAGTACTCCAGCTGCGGCCTGACCAGTGTTGCATAGAGGGGGAGGATCACCTCCCTGGACCTGCTCATGATGCATTTGTGGATGCATGACAATGCGGTTAGATTTACTGACCGCGTCTCCACATTGGCAGCCCATGTTCATCTTGGGATCGATAATGACTCCAAGATCCTTTTCTGCCTCTGTGCTGACGAGAAGGGAGTTCCCCAGCCTGTAGGTGTGCTGCTGGCTCTTCCTCCTCAGGTGCAATACCTTGCACTTGTCAGTATTGAATCCCATCTTGTTCTCATCCGCACACCCCTGTAACCTGTCTAGATCTAGTTGCAGCCTGTCCCTGTCCTGCAGCATGCCCACTTCATCCCAGTCTCTCACCCAAACCTGTTCAGGGTTGCTTATCCTTGAACAAAATGGGCTTTAACTGTCCTAGCTTAGCTTTTGCTTTACTCAGAGGGTAGGAAGGGACACAGTAAATGAGCAGCTGAAGCATTGTAGAGCCTTGCTCCATAAGTTTTCTCAAGCCAAGAATTATTAGACCAGAAGTCTCCTACAATAATAGGTAATTGCTACAGCAACTCTTTAGCTACAGTAGCTTGAGATCTGGCAGCAACTAAAAGTTAAATGTGAAGAACAGGCTAATAGAAGGCTGTAGATGTTGATCTCAGGATTTTTGCTAAATTAGTTTTTCCAGCTACAACCAGTGTATTAAGATTGGAACTGAGCAGTGTTTGACTCAAGTAGTAGAAAGCCTTCCTTTCCTTGTCATTGCATACTTCCTGAGTATCTCTTCCTTCTATATCTAAGACTCCTTCCAGGGATAAAATAGAGGCCTATGCTAGTGTTTCTCTAATTGGAGAGGCACTCCCACACCTCGGATCATTGCATTATGCTAGACCATAGCAATATTGCATAGTTTCAATCTTCTGTAGAAAGGCTTTCTAATTGGTGGCCTCTTGCTGCGTGGGGGAGGCTGCATGCCACCAGCACAGCCCATGGGGAGGAAAGGAGGCGTATGCTGCTGGCACTGCCTACCTGACAGGGAGGCTGAAAGGGACTGTCCCCACAGTGTGGCATGTGGCCCCACCCCTTGTTGCACTGAAGTTGGACAGCCCAGTTTTTAAATAATTTTAAGTTGACTTCAAGCACTAGCCTTTGCTGACCCAGCAGCTCAATTGTCTTGAATGCTCATTGACACTGAAAAAATCTCAGTGGGGAAGGGATTAAAATCCCAGCGCTTGCTCTCAAGAGCTGCCCCTCAGTAGTATCTAGCCTCCCCTTTTAGGGACCTTTTTTAATCTCTCAGCAGTCCGATGAACACTAAGTGAGGGTACCTGCTGCTGGCAGCATACAATATTGGGGTTGCTGAAAGATCAAATGATTAAGTGAAGTTTTCATTCAAAATGACTACGAGGGCATTTTGTATTGCAAGATAAGAGCACTACATAGATTTTATTATAGAAGCTGTTTTATCATATGGGAATGCTGCATCCTTCAGGTATAACTAATTCTACCTAAACATGACCTGGGAGTCTGAGCCACTTGGTAAGCAGAGGTGATGAGCCACATTAGTCTAAAGATGAGCAGAAAGGGGAGAGGGGAAGCTTAGGCTAAGAACAGACATTGCACTTAAGCTGGTTTTGATTGGGCCATGTCAGACCCTGGGACAAAAATCAAATCTGCAGCCCTTTATGCACATAGCTTGTCCCTAGAATGAATAAAAGCTAAATAGGCTGTAAATGTCTAGGGGAGAAAAAGCACTAGTACATTTTCAGTCTCACATTTCATGGGGTCTTAAAGTGGGACAATGGGCTTGTTCTCTAGCTTTTTTACCCTGGGATCCTATTTCCTCAAAAAAATCAGATGCGTGTTTTTAGCCTTAGAGACTTACAGAGGCATGAACTTTCATAGGCAACAACCTAGCAGATTGTTACCTGTGAAAGCTCATGCCTCTCTGGACTCATTAAGCTCTGAAATGTTGCCCTGTTCTGCGCTTCTTGCTGTCTTGTAAGCAGGTGGCAGTTAACAAAAATGTAAGGATTAATGGATTGATTTTTCTTCTGGTAACCAAATATTTATAGTACTTTGTTAACGCATTTTTTTGTTATATTTAAACATGCTGCAAAACATCTACTGCATTCACTCAGACTATGGTGTTTCTTAATTATGGCAGCAGGAGGTTAACATGACTTCACCCCCGGCCCTTGCATAATTTTTAATGATCCTGGCCCAGTGTTGCTTTTCATTTAAAAAGGTCCGCTGTGACACGGCTGCTGCAGGTTCAGCTTTTCAACAGGAATATGGTGGGGGGGAATGCTTTTTGAGGTAGAAATCTTTGCCGGTTCTTTTGCTTTGTCAATCAATCTCGGTCTTTGTCTCTTCTCCCTTATCCCCCTGCATTGTAGTGGCTTAGTGCATAATAACAAGTGTTAAGTAATATTTCCCCGGTGCAGAGAAGAGTGGGTGCAGCCTTTCACTTAACACATGAGCTGTTTTAACTCCCTGCCAGTCTTGCATTCCTTAGCTGGCCCAAAATCTCCACAGCTGTATTTACAAAGCCAGTTACCCTTAGGGGTGTCTTTTAACTGCTGCAGTGAAATGTAACTAATGCTGGTAAATACCTCCACTCTGTTTTTATTTGCTAGAAGTGTTCATAGGATTAGTCCACAGCAGTTTGCTAATGTGCCCTTTGTCAGGCAGAGAGCTGCCGTCTGCATTGCATGTTCAGTTTCCAGAACTCCCCGGCAGCAGAATATCAGAATCAGCTCATGGATAAAATCCTGGCCTGTATCCTATTCCCAGGGTTGCATCAAACTTCTGTGTGACCGGGAGCAGGGCTGAAAAACAGGGCTTATAAAGTTTTCTATACTCGTCCCTCTTTTCCAGCCTATTTCGAGGGACTGGATAAAGAGCCGTCTCTTTCTGCGCGTCCATACAATTCCTAGCATGAGGAGGCCTTCATCTTGGTTGGGGCCTTTTGACCCCGTTTGTTATCTACAAATGATAAAGTTGTTTGTCAGTGTCTGGAACGGATGCTGCTTTCTGGATCGAGCAAGACTTCTGCACTAATTGCAGCGTTTCCTAAATCAAGTTTATCGTACTGTATTTGGATTCACGTAGTCTTTGTTATTCCATGAAGTTTGTCTCGGATTTCTACCCTTAGAAAGTTCCTGTGCAGCTAAGTCTTTGCTCAGAAAGCAGCGGAAGATCTCAGCAGTTGTGCCCATCTTTCCCGAAAAACAAGCCTACCTAAATCACGGCAGAAGTTTGTGGCGCAATGGCATCTTTAATCTCAGTCTTTTTGCCGCACCACCACTGTGGACAAGAGGTAGTTAATTAATGCCATGGCTTTTGCCTCTTGGCTGCTCAGCACCAGAGGGGCACGGCAAAAAGAGAGAGATGAAAGGCACCACTGTGCCGTGAACTTCCACTGTGATTTAGGTAGGTCCCAATGAGCAATGCAACTCCAATGTGGACATTGGAGTCAGAAGTGCAGACTGGCCAAGTTCACCAATGACACCAAACTTTGGGGCAAAGCATCCACACCAGAAGACAGGAGGGTGATCCAGGCAAATGGGCGGATGAGAACCTGATGGTGTTTAACACTGAAAAATGCAAGGTTCTCCACCTTGGGAGGAAAAACCTGCAGCATCCTTATAGGCTCGGCAGCAGCTACGCTGTTGGCACTGCTACACTGGGTAGCACTATGGAAGAAAGAGACTTGGGGGTCATCATTGACCTCAAGATGAACATGAGCCTTCAATGCGATGCTGCGGCTAGTAAAGCGACCAAAACGCTGGCTTGCATCCATAGATGCTTCTCAAGCAAATCCCGGGACATCATTCTCCTCTTGTACTTGGCTTTGGTGAGGCCGCAGCTGGAGTACTGCGTCCAGTTTTGGGCTCCACAATTCAAAAAGGATGTGGAGAAGCTTGAGAGAGTCCGCAGAAGAGCTATGTGCATGATCAGAGGTCAGGAAAACAGACCTTACGACGACAGGCTGAGAGCTATGAGGCTCTTTAGCCTGGAAAAATGCAGGCTCAGGGGTGATCTGGTGGCCACCTATAAGTTTATCGGGGTGACCACCAGTATCTGGGGGAACATCTGTTCACCAGAGCGCCCCAAGGGATGACAAGGTCGAACAGTTATAAACTCCTGCAAGACTGTTTCAGGCTGGACATAAGGAAGAACTTCTTTACTGTCCAAGCCCCCAAGGTCTGGAACAGCCTGCCACCGGAGGTGGTTCAAACACCTACATTGAACACCTTCAAGAAAAAATTGGATGCTTATCTTGCTGGGATCCTATGACCCCAGATGACTTCCTGCCTTCGGGGGGGGCCTGGACTCGATGATCTTCCAAGGTCCCTTCCAGGCCTCACGTCTATGAAATCTATAAAATCTTACAGGAGCTCCTGTGGTTTGGCCAGTTTCCTGCATCCAAAGTGGGCATGAGTTTTCTGTCATTTAACACCCTCGGAAATATTTTAGATGACTTGCAAATGTCTGAGCCCGTTAGCTGGTGTTGTCAAGTGTCAAACATTAGGATTCCTGCTCCATGGAAGGTTTTGGCATCTTTTAGCATGCAAACCAAACCGTCAGAATTTCCTCAAAACGAAGTTTTTCAAAAATACTGTTTCAGGACAAACAAAGTTTTCAGTTGGTAACACTGACCCAGCTCTTGAGGTTTTAGGGTGGGTTGTTTCATGTCACAGTATGAAGCACAATCTGATAGAACATATTGCAATGAAAAGTTATTTCAAAGTGAAAAATTGCAACATTCTGTTCTAAGAAGATCAACAGAAAAATGCTTTACTTCATTTTTTTTTTTTTTTTTTCCCCAAAAGACAATGTTTGCCAAAATAACACATTGCCACAGGACGTTTCAGTTAGAACAAAATGCCATTTTCCAATGGGAAAATGCTCTGTTTGGAACCTTTCAACCACGTTGTAGGTGTGTGGTGTTCATTAGTAGCTTAATATGCTAGCTGTTGATGCCTTTGAAAGTGTGCTAGCAGTTCCATCCACCACAGAAAAACCCTCCTGTTTCTTAGGCAGAAGAGAGAAGTGTGGTACTCTGGAAATCTTTTGGTAAAGGGCATTTGTAATGCTGAGTCAGCAGTTCCCATAATAATGCAAACAGGGTTGCAGAGTGCCACTATAGCAGGGGTGGGCAATTATTTTGGGTGGAGGGCTGCTTACTGAATTTTGGCAAGCCATCAAGGGCCTCATGATAGGCAGCCAGGAGCAGATAAATATTAATTTTCTAAACTTTTTAGGGGCCGGATAGAATGGCCTGCGGGCTGCATTTTGCCCACCCCTGCACTATGGCCATAAGAAAGCAGTTTGCTAAAGGTCACCCTCATGCTTTTGCACGCTGTTGGAGGGCAAGGAAGAAAGTGCTTTTTGAGCTGTGCAGTTGAGATCAATGATTCTTAAGGTTGTTGGTGTCAACTATTTCCCTGCAGATCTTACAGTTAAGATCTGCTTTTAACCATGTGGCTGGTTAAGTAATGTGTTTCAGTTCCATACACTGGCTGATTAGCATCTGGGGCTAAATTCAGGGGTGAATTAAAGTGAATGTAACTTGGACCTTCTTCCCAGCCCCAGTTCACTCATGTAAGCTGAATCCATTTAGACTTCCCTTTGAAACTACCTCTCCATGCTCAGCAGGGCATCTCAGAAGCCGTAGAGCCCAGGGAGATAAAATGTAGGAATTAATACAGAAATAAGGACTGTGTGGCAAAGGAAGGTGAAGATAGTATTAGGGCTGATAATGTTTTAATGCAAAAGTTAATGTTTGTCCCTGATGTGGACAAAAGGCAGCAATAGAAGGGTCAGCTCTAAATCCAGTGAACATTATTGAGGCCCTTAGATTTTCAGGTACACACCTTGCTCAGTGCATGGGCCTTGAAGGGTTGCATACCCTCTTTCTGTTCAGAAACACAGTGCTGCTCATCTGCATTGCGGTCAAGAACAGTGTTGAAAAAGGCAGCACCTACCATTCACAGGCTAGAGGTTTATTTCTCAGCGGGATACATGTCCAGCAGCTCCCCCAGATGTTTACATCTCCCTTTTTTTCCTGCTGTTTATAAGATGTTGGTATGCAAATATTTCCGGGCAAACTGTTCCTTCTTTATCCCTTAAGTGCTTTGCTCTTCTCAAGGAGCTAAAGGAGCTGTTAACTCATTAACCACATTATGCTTGTCAAATAAAAGCCTGGCTAAACAGAGAGGGTTCTGGATTAATGGAGGAACAGGTATTTCATTGCTGGAGGATGCTGTAAAGAGGAAGGTTCCTCTAATAGCTGCTCAGGGAGCAGCTGCCCTCTCCTCAGCTATACAGATTTCCATCCCAACAATAAAATCACAGCTGTGAAGGACAGCAACTTCTTGATTTTTGCAGAGCATGTGGAGGAAAAAGATGTGCTATGAGGAAAGGAAACCTGATGGAAGTGGGCCAGAGGGCAACTGGCAGTCCTGTGTGTTCAAGCCCAATTTGCTGTGCTTGCAGGGAGTGGAGGATGGAATTTGGACTTTGCATACACCAATAATAACTTGAGCTGCCTTATCACGTACTCAAGTTAACATTTATCATTCTCATATTAGTCCTAAGTTACTTGCATGGTATCCAGTGCAATAAAAGATAAACCTGGGCTTTACTTGTTAAATACCTGGACTTCAATAAGGCCTTTGACATGAAATCCCATCTGATATTCTCTTAAGTAAATTGGAGAAACATGGGCTGGAGGGTTAGATACCCCAGATAGTAATTCTCTATGATTGATTGAATAAATGAATTCAAGGTGCAACTAGTAATGGATCAAGGTCAGACAGACAAGAGGTCTCTAGTGATGTTCTGTTCTGGGGTACAGCTGTATGTAGCATTTTTATTAGTGGCTTGGATGCGGAGATGAAGCAGCCTGATCAAATTTGCAAAAGAGACAAACCTGGGAGGAGTTGCGAGCATTTTAGAGAACAGACTTAAAGTCCAGAGGGGGCTGGACAAATTAGAGAACCAAGAGATCAACAAGACAATGGAAAGCAACAAAGAGAAACACAAGGTGCTACACATGAAGAAAAAACCAAAGCACAAATACAGTACAGGGAAAATGGCTTGGCAGTAATACTTCTGAGAAAGATCTGGGGGTTACAGTGACTAAATGAAACACAAGTCAACAGCTTGATGAGGTAGGAAAGCAAATGCCAGTATGCAATGTATTGAAAGAAGCATTGTGTTCAAGACATGGAATGTGATAGTATTACTCTACTCGGTGCTGGTATGGCTTCAGCTGGACTGCAGTGTCTAGTTTGGGGCATCATATTTTAAGAACGATGTGGAGAAACCAGAGTGGCCTATAGCAAAGTGGCAAAGATGATAAAGGGGTAGACGACAAGCTCAACTAGGTATGTTTAATCTGCAGAAAAAGATTAAGAAACAAGTTCCCACAGCGTTGCCAATAAGCCACTTCAATGCAGCCCATGGCCTGGTAATACTTTTTTGGAACAGTTACCAGGGGGTTGCAAAGTGTAGCCCGCAAGCCAAATGCAGCTCCTTTGACGTGTCGCACCACCCAAGACGTCCCTCTGGGATGGAACTTTAGGAATCCCTGGATTAAGGGGTGACGTGATCGTAGCTTTTAAATATTTGAAAGGCTGCCATAGGAGGGAGAGAACTATTCCCTTTTGGCACGGAAGCCTGGACACCAGACATTAAGTTTAAATTGCAGCAAAGGAGATTTAGATCAAATTTCAGGGAAAATATTTCCAGTGGTAAACACAGTAAAACCATGGGTGACTGGTGCCTCCTGAGACGGGGGGGGCACAGTTTTTGGGCAGCAGTGTCGGTGGTGGGGTGGCGAGTGGTGACCGCCCACAAAGGCCAGCATCGGAGTCAGCAGCAACCGGTCTCAGGGTGGGGCACGTGCCCCCGCTTCCCATCACCTATGAGTAAGACAGTAGAATAAGCTGCCTAGAAGAGTTGTAGGATCTTCTTCACTGGAGATTTTCAAAAGGAAACTGGCCAGGCATGTTTGGGATGCTTATAGGAACAGTGCATTCTGCATCTGTGCAGAGTATTGGGCAAGACAGTATTTGAACTGCCTTTCAACCCTGTGGTTCTGTGAAACTGTCCAAAGGATGTAGTTTCATTGGTGGTTTTCTCTAGGGACAGAAGTAACACATAAACTGGTTGAAGTGAGCAGAAACTGGCTTCAGTCTATAACAGAACATGGTTCAGTGCACATAAACTAGTTTCAAAATGGCCGAAACCAGTTTGAGATAAACCTGGTTGAATTTGGTACTAGACTTAACTGATTTGGGTGAAACCGGTTTATAGAACTTCTTTCCCAGACCCCTTCCTGATTTAAGTTAAACCAGAGTCCCCCAGCATCCCAGCATGCTCTGCAGTCCGGGACTGGGGTGTGCTGTCTACTCCAGGGGAGCAGGGTGGCCCCACCCCTCTGCTCCCTAGCTGGAGCAGGGGCGGGGGCATGGCCAGATGCCAGCCCTCCCACCCATCCCACCAGCACAGACCCTAGCTGGGGTCTGCCAGGCAGGGGCACAGCAGCCCCTGCCAGGCATTTCTCCACTCACTGCTCCAGGGGTGGGGGCTTGGCCAGCCCCCACAGCAGCATGAAGCAAACGGAGATGGGGGTTTAATTCCCACTCTGTCCCCTGTCCCAGTGGCATGGACCCCAGTCAGGGTCTGCCTGGCCAGGGTGCAGCAGCCTGTGTCAGGGTCCCCCCCTCCCCCTGCTGCTGGCATGTCCCCCTAAGGCAAAGGGGGCAGGGAGGAAATTTATTCCCCCTTCCACCCCCTCTGCCCCGGGGGACCACCGCTGGGGTATGCCAGCCCTGGCTGCTGCCTTCTCCAATCACTCCCTGCACCGGGCGAGCAGTGGAATAAGACCCTCCCTGTCCCCTTCACCAGATGCCAGAGGGAGGGGGAAAATAAACCCCCACCCTGCCCTCTTTGCCTAAGGGGGCCATGCTGGCCAGCCTCTGGCCATGCCCCTGCCTCTGGGGTGGCAAGGGGGGAGTGACCCTGACAGGGCAGCAGCCCCTGTGATGATATCCCAGGAGCACGAGCCTCTTCCCAGCAGGGTCTGCGCTATGGGCAGGAGCAGGGTGGGCAGAGCTGCTGCAGACTGCACAGGGCAAGCAGTGGCACCAGGACTCAGAGGGGTGGCCACAGCCCCCCAAATCCCCGTTAGCATGCCCCTGCTTGCGGCAGCTCTGCCTGCCCTGTTCATGCCCACAGTGCAGCCCCACCCCGGGAAGAGGCTCACGCTCCTGGGACACCATCACAGGGACTGCTGCCCGGTCAGGGTCACTCCCCCCTTGCCACCCCAGAGGCAGGGGCATGGCCAGAGGCTGGCCGGCATGGCCTCCTTAGGCAAAGGGGGCAGGGAGGGGGTTTATTTCCCCCCTTCCTCCATCGTCTGGTGAAGGGGACAGGGAGGGGGCTCATTTGCCGCTCACCCCATACAGAGAGCGAGCGGTGGAGGCAGCAGTCCCCCAGGGCAGAAGGAGTGAACAAACCCCCCTCCCTGCCCCTTCACCTCAGGGGGCCATGCCGGCCGGCTTTTAGCCATGCCCTCGCCCCAGCCGCTGCAGCAGTGGCCTGAGCCACCGCAGGTGTGTGCCTGCACTTCCTAAATCAAAAGGAAATGTCTAGGCACTTGCAAATCGGTTCAATCTACTCAGGTTAAACTAATCTGCAAAGATTGAATCAATTTAGGCTCCAGCTTTTTGAATGTCTGTCCCTAGCCCATATGTTTGGTGCACATCCATCTAAGTGTATTAGCATGCAACACTCATGATGCAGCTTGAAAAATACAATCACAGGCACGTTCCACTTGAGGAACATGCTGAATCGACAACCCGGGAAAGCCGAGTTCTCTGCTCACGTAGTAGATTCCTTACAGGCAACAGCGATGCATGATTCCCCTCTGCTATGATACCTCGGCTCAATCCCACTATGAAGCAAGGACCTCTCGGGATGTGAAGGTAGTTTGATCTTTGTACCCATTTGACCCTAATGACTGCTGAGAAGGTGGTGCTAATTGTGCTGGGAGTTTGTGTAGCACATGCTTGTCCACTGAGACTTCCAGAGCATTCAGTGATAACAATGTGGGACAGTACCAGTCTGGATTGGCTTAGGTCCAGCCCCTGAGCTTTGCATCTGTGATTAATTATTTTTTGACTTTTGCAGAACAAATAAAAAGTACAGAATGTAAAGTGACTCACAGCTTGTTTATCTTCCTCAAACCCAGCCATTTCACAGGAGCTCCCGCAGAAGGGCACATTTGTTCAAGGCTGCATGGACACAGGACAAGGCAATACTCCAGAGCGTGTCAGGGTGAGGGTTATGGCAATGAAAAAAGAGAAAATGTACATGAATAGGAAGAAGAATTAAGGGCAGAGGATTTGGATAGAAGATCTAGTGTTCTTCAAGCAACTTCAGCATTTATTTTATTCAAACATTTCCAGAAAAGAGAAATGTTTTCGAACTCATACACTTGATCTTTGCAGCAGTAAGCCATTCCTTCTTTGGCTGCTAACTAATATAGGTATAAATACACTGTTCTGGGTATAAACTTACTTCATCTTTTTTAAATCTTATGCTCAGCAATCATTGCAGCCCTCAATAGCCAGTCCTGGTGATGAAGTAGTATCCTGCAGTATAATTTTCAGTAGAAGTTTGACTGCTGAAGTCCATCAGTGTTTTAGTTCTCGCCTCTATCTGCCTGTTCCACACTCCTAGTCCACAAATATTCAGGTCCCTTTCTCTTTATTCCAGTGCCAACGTATGTCAGGGGACAAAGCCTTATCTTATGTAAGCACTGCGGCATCCCGTGTATTTAGAATACAAGAAAGTCATGTGTTGTAGCAAGTTTGGCAGAGACTTCCAGAAGTATTTTTAACATTATGTAACCTGCCCTGTCTCTAGGGCTCTCCCCAGGGCTGTGGTAAATCTACTTTCCACGCTTCAACAGTGAGCTCTAATGGAGCTCCTCTTTGCTCATAATGCCTGCACAAGCCTGGACTAGGGAGTTTAAGGAGTATTTCTAAGGTTCCCAGGAGCTTTGGCATCCCCCAGCGGTCCTACACTATCTGGGCAAAAATGATGACACTTGGAGAGTTTATGAATAGGATTATGTGACACCATTGCCTGAGAGCAGAGGATTGAGCATGATCCTGGAGTCCCTTCCAGTTCTATGTCTAATGACATGCGAGCACCACCACCCCTCTGAGGATAACAGTGCTGTAGGCTTAGGAAAGAGGTGCAGGCCCCACTGCTGACTAACTTGCGAATCCATTCACTACTCCTCAGCCAATTTTTCCAAATGACAGGTTTGTTTCCAAATTTCCAAGTCTAAGCTGCCCCATAGAAGTGCTTCTGCATGATGGTGAGGATGAAATAGGATAGCCCAGATCTTATATGCAGCCTCTATTATAGGAACTTTATCCTTCTCCATTGGAAAATAAGAGAGCGGCAGGGGGAATCAGCTTCATGTATAAGTCTTCAGTTTCTCCCTATAAAGATGCTAGGGTCCTAGACCCCATTTGAAATCTATGACATGAAAAACATAATTTTATAGGTCTGGGAGCTTAACTTGGTCTCTGCTAAATGATAAGCATAGGTGTTGACCGGGCCCATAGGAAGGCTTTAATAAAGCTATTAAAAATAAGAGGCATATCAAGATAAGCTTCTTGGGATATAGACAAAATATTCATTTTTACTGTGTTCATCCTCCACTCCCCCCAAAAGACCATTCTTTAAGAGAGTACAGTTTTACTTTAGTAGTTTGAAAATGTTTCTGGGTACATTTATACTTGAGTTTACCTGCAGAAATTGTACATGCCACAAGCCAACCAGGAGAGTGCCAGTAATTCAGTTTCACCCCAGTTCGGGTAATAACCAACTATCGATCCAAAGGTTTGAATTTGGGGGCTGGAATTCTGTTTCCTGCACTGGAGCTATATGTCAATGCATATCACATCAATACATGCTCTGTAGGGCCAACTCATATGCTTTAGATATTTGGGTGAACCCATGCAGCTATTGCCAAGGGATCAAGAGCCAATTGTAAATTATGGATACAACAGGCACCCTGCCCTGAAGGAGCTGCAGATATGTAAGGTATGTGTCAGTAGTCAGGGCAGCATAAATTGCTCCCAGCTGGCCCTGGGTACTTGAATGGGCCTGGCTGCCAGTGGGTAACACTACCCCCAGCTGGTCCCTGTTGCCTGCTTACAGCTGCAGCTCTTTCGTGCTCCACAGACTACTCAACAGGAGGGAAGTATCTCTTGTCTAACCCTGGGCTTCTGACTCCTTTTCAGATTCCTGCTTGCTTTTTCCTAGGTTCCTGTGTCCTGCTTGCTGGCTCCTAGATTTCTAATCCCTGGGTCTTGTCTGTTGGCTTTGAAACATCAAATCATAGAAAATGAGGGTTGGAAGAAACCTCAAGAGGTCACATCTACTCCAACCCCTGCTCAAAGCAGGACCAGCCCCAACTACATCATCCCAGGCAGTCTAGCCGAGCCTTAAAAACCTCCCAGGATGGAGATAACACCCCCTCTCTGGGTAACCTGTTCCAGTGCTTCACTACCCTCCTGGTGAGAGTTTTTCCTAAATAGCTAACCTAAACTTCCTCTGCTGCAGCTTGAACCCATTGCTCCTTGTTCTGTCATCTGCCACCACTGAGGACAGTCCAGCTCCATCCTCTTTTGAACGCCCTTCAGGTAGCTGAAGGCTGCTATTAAATCCCTTCTCAGTCTTCTCTTCTGCAGACTAAATAAGTCCAGTTCCATCAGCCTGTCATCAGAAGTCATGTGCCCCAGCCCCCAAAACAACAAGGCTTCATCCTTGTTCTTGGTTTCTGCCTGCCAATTTCTGACTCTTGCCCCCTAGCCCCTTTGCTCCCGACTTACCAGGTCCTGACTCCAGTCCAGACCCCTGTCTTCTTGACAGCTGGCTCCAGACTTGTGGTTTGGCAGTCGCCCATACCCCCGTCCCTGACAGCTCCAGCTGACTGCTCTAGACCCCCTGCACGGGCGGACCTAGGGCTTTGAAAAGCGGGGTGCAGATGGTGCGGTGTATTGTCGCATATAACATAACACACATTTTTCTCCAGGTTTTAAAAAAAGAAAAGAAACTAGAAGCTTTACTAGAGGCCTCGGGCTATATTATTCAGTTTAAGATCAAAGCGAAAACAAATATAATGTTATTGGCACGTGCATTTATTTTCTCTATCATATATTACATATTAAAAACAATACAACCAACTAGGTAAAATAATCAAAAGTTGTTATTTCTTTAGTCCTCTCATCATTGGAATTAAACGTACATCTCTTTCAGATTTGCAAGACAAAATCAAGAGTGTACGTGGTAGCCGTGTTGGTCTGAGACAAGAAGACGTATAAAAACCTAGAACTCTTGGTTCCAAAATGATACCTTTTATTAGACCAACGGGAAAACCGCAAGAAAACGGACAAGCAAGCTTTCTTGGGCATCTTGACAGTGCATCCAATGCTTCACTGAAAGTTATTTCCACACCTGAGTTAATGTTCACCTGAGTTAATGTTTCCACACCTGAGCTAATGTTTTTAGCTAGAGTTAAAAACAACCTTCAAGGCTATAAAGTAGGAGTTACGTTACCTGGAGCTGCTGCAGACAACAGAATTGTAAAAGAGGCTATCTTGATTAGTGGAACATTAAGACCAGTGATAAAGAAGAGATGGTTATTACCACCGATGGAGCGCAGGGTTTAGAAGGAATCAGGTAGATTACAACGAGCCATGAAATCAAGTGACTCCGATCAACGCTGCCTCAATAGAAATGCTGCTGCCTTTGCCGGTAGTTGGTTTTAAACGTCAGGTGGGCTAGGAATCACTGCAGTGCCCCCGCCTCTTCCCTCCCCATCTGCCCTTGGCCCCCTAGCTAGTCAGGATCCCTATTTCCTCTTCCTAACCTCCCTGACCCAGGGTGCCTGCCTATGTCTTGACCTCTCTCAATCTCCTGACCTGTCTGCTTCTGATCCCCTGATTCTTGACTCTAGTCTGGACCTTTGTTCCTGGCCTTGGCTACTAATCTCCTGCATTGTAAACTTGGGGGTAATGGTTCCCAACCAGGGTGCCCTGAGACCCTGTCAAGGGCTGAAGCCAGATGAAACTGCTCTGTACACCTCTGTTCCCAATAAGTGCTTGTGGTGCTGGACTGGGAAGCAGCTGTAGCAAGAGGGGCCGTCACCGTTAGGGAACACTGCTTACCACCGTCTTGTTTTCATTGTACTTTGGTTAATGGTCTTTGCTGGCAAGACTGCTTTGTTTTTACAACCTAGCTAAGAAACATAGCCCAAACATATGGATTGTAGTGAAACTATATCTAATATATTGGCTTCCATTAAAATCACTACCATTAATATTTTAAAGCTAAACTATGGTATAGTAATCACTGAGAAACAGGCTCGGGGCCTCTTGCGGAAGGCATGCTTCTGTGGCTTGGCCTATGCCCTTGGGAAAAGCCAATGGAGCCCAATACCTTCTGCAGTCTTGAGGCCAGAAGGGCTGCTAATATTTTGTATTCCTAGTAACGAGGGAAACTGGAACGTAGCATGGTGTCTTCTGGTTTAGGAACAACTGAAATGAGGGCTTCTCTCAGCAAAAGAGGAAGCAGCTTATTAACCACTTTTAAGTGTCTTGTCAGACAGGAATTCAAAGAAGTATTCATAAAACTTGGTCATTTTCCCGTTCATATTTTAAACTGCCTCGGGGATTGCGCCCCCGACTTGGGGAGCAACTTCGGCCTTGGCTGCAGTCCTGTGCAGCATTGTGATAGGTTTTTAGAAAACTTGATCCTCCTCTGAGATGGGATTGCTTAATTTGTCCTGATCTTTATACTTATTAAAGCACTGTCTTAGTGATGCTACAATATCACTTGCCGTGTCTACAGCGCGTGGTTATCAGTCATGACCCCGCTCTCAGCAGCCTTTGTCTTAGGCGCTATGCCGGCAGCTTGCCAGCTTTTTCACCCAGTTCCTGACATCCTAGGTTGCTTGTAACCTGCACTGAATTCTTATCTACAGCTGCCATTAGGAATCACAACAGATCTGATTTTGTGCTTACATTGTAAAAGAAAGCAAACACTTCCTCCCCCAGAGCCATTTTCCTGAAATTCCTCTTTGTTTTGCAGACCTGAAACTAACAGTTCTGCCCTCCCTCTGCATCTCCCACAACAGCAGGCTAAAAGAGCTTGAGGCTTCATTTTCCTCCAAGAGCAAGACAGTTTCTCTCTCAATAAACACTTTGAAACTGGGATGCAATGCAAGTGAAAGATCTACAGGGCTGTTCCTTACTCAGGTCATCTGTTGGGAGTTGCCCTCGTAAGGGCATGATCCGAAACAGCAGTTCTGCCAGCCGAGGAACCCACGCAGGAGTAACCAAGACTCTAGAGATCAGAAAGAAATGCAGAACCTGGACATATGCACTGGGGACAATTATGAATAGTCTCTCTATGCATTAGATGTACAAACCAGATATCCCCTAGTCCCTGATCTCCAATGAGCAATTCCAGCACTATTCTAGCATTGGTTGGTTCATGACCTCGAGGGCCGGATTTATGATTTATCATTGTTAAATATGTGTAAGGTACCTAGTGCATCGGTAGGTGAGTGCTGCTTAGTCTGAAAATGAAAGGCTCGAACATCTGTTTACTACTTCCTGAGCGATTCTGCAATTCTCCCGAAGACAATATATGGCCTCTCCTTATAATTTAGAAAGGGAAACAACAGCGATCTGAAATCTGGTCCATTGAAAAAAATGGGTTTACTGCCCCTGAGTTCCTCTGACAATTTCTTTTGTGTTACAACCACATTTACCTATTCTTGCTTTTCTCGCTCCTGTTGCTGTTTGAAAGATCCATGCAAACAAGTAGGAGAAACCGGAACGGATGTACTCAAAGTAATATATACATAGAAATATATAATTTCTTTCCATTAAAATTCTTATAATCTGCTATTACTTGCATGTTACCTTTATGTATGTAAAACAGTTTCAGACACAGTGATTTTAAATTGGGAGGGTCTCTTTTCCCATGTTTACTTATGCCATTTTCACATGGGTAATTTTCCAAAATATTCGCCTCATGGGGCTGATATTTTCCATGACTTGAAATGCTTAAAGGTGATGATGTTGTTCTTAAAAAATTGAGCAAAACATGTTTGGCTTTTTAGGCTTGGGATTATGAAAAGAAATACTTTATTTCCCCAGTTATACTTGAGTTCAAAAGATATTTATAGAAGGCATATAAACCCAGCCATCCTTGCAGGAGAGTGTTTCAAGCCACATAATAACAGGAGCAATGGTGGAGTAATGATTTATCACTAATTACTATTCGTCCAGTAACACCCAAATTATTAGCTTCTTCCTCATCTCAATCACTTCAGTAAAGGACAAATTTCAAATAATCATTGGAAACTGATTAAATTCTAGCATTGAGCGTGGGGATTTTTTTGTTTTTCCACTTTTTGCTTGTTAAGAGTAATAAAGAAATTACATTTTAAAAAATGACGTAGAAGCAATATTCTGATTGCAGTTAAAATCACAAAATATCATAAAGTATAGAAGATACAGATCTGATATCAATCCTAAACTCCCTAATCTGAATCAAAGCAGCCTTAGTTTCTCAAACCAGCATCACGTAAGTAAGCTCTTGATCTTGCAAACATTTATACACATGCTCATACTTACTCATGTAAACATTGCCATAGGCTCCGGCAGGATTACCCATTCAGCTGTGATTCAGTAACGTATTTGAGAATATGCCTAACTCTAGCCTCATGAGCATTCCCACGGATTCAGACAGGTACATGCATGAGCATCTATTCGAATCACCGCCTAAATACAGGTAGCAGTAGGCATCAGTCTGTCTTGCGAGACAATAGAATTACAGCAAGCGAGACATCAGCTTGCTGAACGGTAATCTTCGCCATAAAGATAAAATGAAGCTGGAGTGACCTCTCCAGAGCGCAAAAGCCTGGGCAGTGTATACGGAGACACAGAGCTGCCCACACACAGTGTCCCGCTCAACCTTGCTGGTTTAATCCAGAGAGAACCTCCTGTGGCCTAGCTGGTTCCACATGTGCAGGTTTCCCTCGCTTTATGCAGAACGTGCGTTCCTGGACAACAGCGCATAACTCGAATTTGTGTAAAGGGAACCCACTTGACAATGTAGCAAACAGGGATACGTTCCAAGACCTCGACTGTCCTGGCCCCCAGGCCCATTTCAACCACTTTTACAAGGCGATTTTGGTACTCACCAACAGCAGATAGCACACACCAGCACACGGCACTATCATAATGGGGATGCAACTACAGAAACGTGTGTCGCCGACAACGAGCGAGGAGCGCAGATCCATACCAGGGACTATATTTTGTCGTGCGTCACTCCCACAATGCCGCGCACAAAGCAGCTGCCTGCGGGCTTCCACCACACCGATCACGTCCGAGTGAATTTACTTTGCGTATAATGAATTTTTGGTATATAAAGGGTCATCGCATAAGAGCGAATTTGAACCTACAGACCCACATAAAGCAAGGGAAACCTGTACTGGCGCAGCCAAAAAATGTGTAAGTGTTAACAGGACTGGGCCTAAATCACTCAAGGGTCAGATCATATGGATCTTTTAGAGGGTAAATGGTTTATTGTTTGTTTGATCATGAGTTTCCTTAGCAAACCTACATGCAAGTGTAATTCTCTCATTCCATCCCATTCTTCTGGACAGTAAGGGAGAGAATTTGGGAGGGGGCAGGGGGCTTACAATTTTATGAGCTAGGAACAAACACTCTTAGGTCCGAACTCAGGAGGTAGAAAGGTCCGAGAGTCAATACATGCCAACAGTCTGAACACTACATTGTACCAGTATGACTTGCAGAATAAAATGCACATTGTCTGTTGGGTAAATCCCGTCATGTGATGAGCCTAAGACTGAAAGGGAAAAGAGGAAGTGTAAAATGCTATGACAAGATAATACACTATAATATAATATAATATAATATAATATAATATAATATATATGAATGTATTATCTTGTCAAAGCATATTATATATACATAATATATATATATATATACATATATATATATATATACACATACACACACACCCTATATATATATACAGACACACACACACATACATACAGACACACACACACACATATACAGACACACATATACATATATATATATATATATATATATGTGTGTGTGTGTGTGTGTATTAGCTCACCAACAACCAAAATAAAACCAAAAGAAGGAGTTTCTTACCAACCCTCTAAAATGTTACTACATCTTGCATAAGTACAGAGAAAAACATGCTGTTCAGAGTCTAGTGAAAGCACAATGTAAGAATTCACTGGATTATTTGAAAAAAAATACAGGTAAATTTGTTGTAAGTGATTAAGCAAACATTTCTGGAGGAAGGTGAACGTGTGAGAATTGACCAAAAATGTGTGAAATATAAAGTAACACTCTCAATGGGGAAGAAAACTGATTTTTTTTAAAAAACAAACCTTCAGGACAATGTAAAACAATGTATTTTTCAAAGTCATAATAAAATGGTTTTGGTAAAACTGCTGAGGGATGAGCTAAAATAAGAATATGTCTTGACAAACATGTTGCTCAGGAACGGAAAGGACGTAATGATGATTATTTAAT